TTTCTGCCTTCCCGTTTTACATTTCTGCCTGCCCTTTTTACATTTCTGCCTTCTTTTTACATTTCTGCCTTCCCTTTTTACATTTCTGCCTGCCCTTTTTACATTTCTGCCTTCTTTTTACATTTCTGCCTTCCCTTTTTACATTTCTGCCTGCCCTTTTTACATTTCTGCCTGCCCTTTTTACATTTCTGCCTACCCTTTTTACATTTCTGCCTGCCCTTTTTACATTTCTGCCTGCCCTTTTTACATTTCTGCCTGCCCTTTTTACATTTCTGTCTGCCCTTTTTACATTTCTGCTTGCCCTTTTTACATTTCTGTCTGCCCTTTTTACATTTCTGCCTGTCGTATTTACATTTCTGTATGCATTTCTGTCTCATTATGCAAATGTGGAGGGGGTGTGTCCTAGAGAGGTAACTTCTGCTCATTGGTTGGCGGCCCATCTTCTTAACTCACAGAGCTCAGAGTACTAAGTTAAATGTTCTCTTAACCAACCCATCTCCTAACTTTTACTTAAACATATATCAGAGTAGCTGCCAGTTAAAATTATATGAGTGCTGCTCCAAATTTATGGTAAATTGGCTTGCCACAATTATAGATGAAACCGACTGCATTTTAAAACGGCTTGCCATATCGGGGAGCTCTTCTCATTCAATTAGCGGCTCTGTGCACAGTGAATAGAGACCCCAAATAATATTGTATGCCAAAGCGACACATCCGATGTTGTTTCACCGAGAGGTGGGACTCGAGAGCAGCAGGAGAGAGGGAAAAAAACACGGACTGAAAACGCTCTGAACACAGACAGCTGCACCCAACCCCAGTTACTGTTGGCAGAAATAAATCAGCGGAAAATAGGGAAAAAGCGGAAATTATTGGTGGGGACTGTCCCCAACATGTCCAAAGTTGGTGGGGACATGTCCACACCAGTCCATAAAGTTACGCCAGTAGAGCAGTGCAATAATCTCTGTCAGCTTCTATATGCAGGTAACTCAAAACAATCTTAATTTTAACTTACATTACTCAATTGTTAATATTCAGTGGCATCACTAGACTTATTTGGGAGGGTGGCTGAAGCCCCCCTCTCATGTTCTCCAGCCCTCTTAAAATAACTGTAAGTAACTTTTCGGCGTTCATAAAATATTTTTTTTATAACTTTTGTGATTATATGTTGACTTACAATTACTTAAACGACCCGTCTGTCACGGCCGAGCGGGTCTGTTTCACTTTCACCAGGTAGAGGGGTAGTAGAGGTACAGTGGCGGCAGTGCAGAAGTACTGTACAAAACCATGTTAAACTGCCATATTTTCAACATTGTCATGTAACATTACCTCTCTGCTATTCATTTTTCTCACAGCCACTGGAAATAGTAATGTAGTTTAATCTAACTCCAGGTGACTGGGAGGTCAGGATTTCACTCTGCTCTGGTCTCTACCAATTTGGTCCTCATGGGACATGGGGTCTTCCTTCAGGCAAAACAATACAGCTTTTGTCCACTGGGGGGAGCCAAAATCGTCCATAATGAAAGTTCTTTGGTACTCCTTTGATAATTAATTTTGTCTTCTTTAATTAAATCAGATATATTTTCTCCATTTGGCCCGTTGTTTTCTTTTTTTTCCCCCAATGTGTTTCAGAACAATAATCGGATTAAGATCTTAGCCAGTGACAATAGAAGTAAACACAAATACAGTTGTCTGATGCTGTTATAATTAAGGGAGAAAGAAAATTATTTTAAAATCCCCCCCTTTTAACCACTGTATATAAAAGCCAAATCAACATGATGTGAATATTTTCAGAAGTGGGTAAATATTGCTTTAATTCAAGTCATTAAATTATGCTTTAATTCAGGGCTTGAACTTACTACCATTTTATTAGCATTTGTGTTCAAAATGTAATCTGTTCAACTTAAAAATAGTTTTGAACAAACAACCATTGCGTTTTAGGCAAAAATCACAGTTTTTTTATTTTTATTTTTTTATTTCCTTTATTTAACCATGTAAACCCCATTGAGATCTGGATCTCATTTTAGAGGGGGACCTGGGTATTAGCCTTTACAGTTATCTGCTAATAATTTAAGTTATCATGTTTAAGATATTCTTCTTGTGTTTTATGGTGGAGACCCCATCTCTTCAATCTTGGTTCAACAAAAGAAACATTACAACTACAACTTGACTGGGGGGGATATGAGAAAACAACAAAGGAAAAGAGTTTCCTCCAAAAATCTCTTCAATCTTGGTTAAACAAAAGAAACATTAGGACTGATTCCTCAGTTAAAGATCCACTGTCAGATGGACGTGTTGTGGTTCAGCTTAAACCTCCTCCAGGTGTGGTGAATGTCATCCTCTAAACCCTCTGATAATCTGCTCCCATAGCAACTACAAACATGTTAACAGGATTATGGATTTTCAGATTTTGAAACATCAATTAATTTTGTGTTTCAAATTTTCTAGCCTCAATTGAGCTTCAGAAACTACAGGGTGAAACATTAATGAAAGATGGGACAGAAGTCACCATTGTTTCAGTCAGTCTTGGAGCACCAACGATGGATGCACAAACTGCAGATGGTGCTTCAGCAAATACTGCTCCTCCAGCTGTTTTAAAAAGCTCCAAACCTTTGGTGCCAAAGCAGACAGTGATATGTACTCTAAACTAAATGCATAGCATTTACAGGAAAATATATATTCTATTCAACCTGCTATACTTTTTTTTTTTT